CATATATATTTATTGATTAAATGAAAGTTGAATTGTTTTTTTTAAAGTAGGTAAATGATTAATGAACTGTAATGAACATCTGTCTCATGTCCCACTCAGATGCCATAAGATATGATATAGATGTGTCGCTGCCGCTGCCATTTCTGCTGTGGCTGCTGCCCCAATACAGTATGATTGGTTGTGGTACCTGCTGCAAATTCTGACACATCCTGCACCAGCCTGGAAATACTTAAACTTGTTCAAAAATCTTCATCAAAGCAGTTTGTCAAAGGGGAATGTCTGAATGTGAACAGAGCATTGTTACAACAGCTAATAACAGACTGTAGAGAACAATCTGATGTTTCTTAAGATTATTTTGAGTCACTATGAGAGAGAGATGAAGAAGCATCAAAGTTCAAATAATATTATTTGTTAAAGAGTTCCCCTTTGATGTTACTTCCTGTTTCACTTTGGCTGAGTCAAGTTCAAAAGAAAATATGCCAGTTATGTGACAAAATGGATAAAACAGTGCGTATTATTCCAACTTTCTTAAATATAAAATGTTTTCTTTGACTTTTTGTATTTGAACAATATGTTATCGAATGTTTTCATATTATAATTTGTGTTCTGACTGCATTGTCCAAACTAAAATTTCTCCAAACGTTAAATATCTACAGACAGTCTGTTTTACCAGCAAAATAAATTTTAATCTTAACAATGAGTCTAGTTGTTTATATAAGAAAAATGTGGGACTAGAGTATGTTTTAGGCACCGAAACAAAATAATCTGCATGATTTGCACACAACAAAATTATTTGTGTCATTCTTTTAAGGAGAGGAACAGAAAGGGTGACAGCTATTTCTGTCTGGCACAACACTTTTACCAAGTCAGGGCACCAGGTTGGGGCGGCTGTGGTAGAGTGGTTAGGGGAGTCGTCCTGGAACTGGAAGGTCGCTGGTTCAATCCCCGTCCAGTTGACTCAGTCGTTGTGTCCTTGGGCAAGACACCTTACCCGCCTTGCCTTCTGATATTGGTCAGAGGGTCTGGTGGCACCTGTGTATGGCAGCCTCACATCTGTCAGTGTGCCCCAGGGCAGCTGTGGCTACAATTGTAGTTTGCCATCATGAGTGAATGTCTGCAGTGTAAAGTGCTTTGAGTGTCCTGGATGGATAGAAAGGCACTATTATAAGAACATTTACCAGGTCAATTAATGACCAATATTTATTCACTCTTTTTAATCAGATTCATATACCGAAGTGTGAGTGATCGTATGATTTGCAGAAATTCTTATCTCAGGGCAAAAGTACTCAAAGATGACAAGCAGCTTTTATTACAAAAATAAAGCGAGATTCAATTTGAATCATAAATAAAAACAGTGAAAATAACAACATGAAAGACGAAGCAATAAGGTTTGTAAAACAGTTAAAAATGAAAATTATTGTAGACTTGATGTTATACGTCTAGTTAAATGGTAAATGGACTGTACTTATATAGCGTTTTTCTATCCATCCAGGACACTCAAAGTTCTTCACACTACAATCTGTGTCCTCATTTACCCATTCACACAGCACTCTACTAGGTCTCTACAAAGCTAACATGAACAATCAGCTATGGAGACTAATCAATGCCAATCATATTCATACAATGATGGGAAACACATCAGAGGCATTAGGGGTGAAGTATCTTGCCCAAGAACACAACAACTGAGACAGCTGGACAAGGGATTGAACCAGCGACTTTCCGATTCCAGGACGACTCCCCCAACCACGCTGCCACAGCCGCCCCAGTTGTTACATTAAGGTAAGTAAATATTTTTCTTCTATTATTTAATTGACAAGAGACCCAGGTTAAAACCTATAAGTTTTTTCTTTTTTCAATTTGGAGAGAAGGTAAGGTATTGGTCAGATTATTTATTAATAACTTTAATCTTACTGCAGATCAGAAGAATTATATCAAAGTTGCCTCAGCTGTTTAACCAGGACTGTTATGTGAAAACTTCTTGTGTAATGCCTTAAATTAGGTACAGTTCAGCAGCTCAACAAAGTTGGAGACAGCTCTCATTGAAGGTGTGTGACGAACTCTGAGGTCCAGGGGCCTCATGTTTAAATAGTGCGTGTGCATAAAAAAGTTGCGTGTGCCAGGTTCTACACCCACGTTATGATGTATCAAAACCAACGTTGTGTGAAATGAACCACCTGCCGTGAGAATGTGCGGCAGCCACACAAAGTTTTTCAGTCGACAGTTTTAACCCACAAAGTCACGAATCTGTCCTGAATTCACAGAAATATGACTGTTCTGTTTTTGGGATGTAAGGAGAGTCTGAACATGGTGTTAGATTTTTCTTTTTTAGTTTGAGTTTTTATTGTTTAAACTCGACTGATCATGAAACTGAACCCCGGGACTGAAACATACAGAGCATGTTTTCTGAAAGAGAAGGGGGGTATAACTTAAGGGGTCACTCAAACTTCAAGTTCYGCAATTTCCGAACAACAAGAAAAAGCTTCTGTATTTCTATTAAAGGTGTAAAGTTATGGAACAAGTTAAATGAAGATTTAAAACAAAGCAATAGTTTAATACAATTCAAAAGAAAATACAAGGAGGTCATTTTCAATAGAAATACACATATGGGTGAGAGAAAGCAATAATGTGTTTATTGCAGATAACTTGGTGTAAGGGTTTGGAAAATGGGAAATGGGAAATGGGAAATGGGAAGCATAAAATGGGAAAATGTATAGGTAAATATTAGTAACTGCTGACTGCCACT